GTGAGAGGGAGGAGGACCCTGGACCTTTTCCTCATGCCTGTCTAAACTATTGACCGACACCTCTTGCAAAATAGCAATAAACTAGAATGGCCATCTTGGGAATCTGGCTCTGGCCTGGGATGTTCCAGAGTGATGAATCTCTGGCCTGTATCAGGCTTTTGTGCAGGTTAATCTTTGCTGCTTGTAATAGTAAAGTAAAAGGTGAAGATGAATGATGTTCAGATGTACTAAGTGCCACTGATGGTTCTTAGACACACAGTTGGTATTAAAATTCTCATTTGTTATGTAATGCAACCCAACCACATATTTTACCTTCAATGTTAGGAAATGTGCTGTTCCAAGTTTTCTCAAAACATGATGGTTTTGAAAGCTGGCAGTGCAGTAGCTATTTAATTTGGGTTTTATATGAACTAAGAGAAAACTGCGAAGCTAGATGAACTGAGTGAAGATGAGAGTTAAGTAATAGAACTAATAGATGGCATTTTTGCTGAGAAGTTTTATTTATCAGCCAATATTTATTCTGTCAGGCACTCTGCCCTCATAACAGAATTCTAAGAAATGTAAAATAAAGTCCCTTCTCCATTAAACCCTACAAAGTAGTTGTTGAATAAGACATATACATGAAATTTCCCATGTACCTTATTAAAATGATTTTCCTGAATACCTTCATCCTCATATATAATTATTTTCTAATATAGGAATGTAAAGTCTTATTAGCAGTGTTTTGCATAGTATTTGTGAAATATGGAGAATCTTAAAATGCAACTGCATGCAAAAACTTATTTGCCATATGCTTTGATTCCTTTCTCTGCTTATCTGTTCTCTCTTTCTGCATTTCATCAGGCATGAGTATAACAGCCTTTGAGAGGTTAACGCTCTGGCACAATGATGTTCCAGATTCATAGGAGCTTATGATCCTTGGAGCTGCTCAGAGACATCTTTCTGTGACCGACTTAGCTACCCTTAAATGTATTAGCTGCTTTGCAAATCAGAATGTTATTAAAAGCCAGCCAGTTTACATACAGTTATTACATAATCCTCTGTTAAGCAGTTTTTATGCTACAATCTCTGGAATTTTTCTCCTCTTAACATAGGACTGCTTAATAGTTTAAAATTCCTAAAGCAAAAGGTTAAATATTAGTTTACTCTGACATACTGTAGACCCACCTCCCTACATGACCTATCAACAGTGCTACCTGCTTATTTTTGCAAGTCGTATTTCCTTGGTCATATTTAAGCATTTAAGACTTTAGCTTTTAAAGGGAACTGCTTACTGCAGGTGTCTGAGTGGCGTGTCCACATGATGCTGGAAACCAAGAGGCAGCCCAAGAACAGGTGATTCCCGTGTGCGCTCCTGTCTAATCCTAACCGTCTGCTCTGCAGGAAATCAGTGCTGCAGGCAGGGATTGAGAGATTTCAGCTCCATATTTCCAGGCCAATGCAGTAAAAGAATTAGGGGGAGACTGGATGGAAAATTGGGAAGAAGAACATTTATTTGAGTAGAAGAGAAGGTAACAGGGAAAAGTTTAGATAGCTGTAATAAATGTAAAGATAATCCTTTAGGCAAAATTGGAAATGGACATATCTATTCTGGAAACCCTAACTGCTAAGGAGCCGTAACAGGCAGAGTGAAAACCTGTTTCATTTATCTCTCTGTATTCTCGGCCTTTCCCCACTGGTTCTTTCCCAGTGCTTTATATTTGACTGTACTGTGCCTTTAGACTCTCCCTGGACAGTGCTGAGGTAAGCCCTGAGCAGTGTGCTAACATTGATATGGAAACTTCATATAAATTCCACAGAAAATTAGCATTTCTGTTTTGATGATCTGTCGCTGTGTGTGTATGCATCTTTGCATTCTGTGAGGTAGGACTCTCGAAAAAGCCTTCAGTCTTGTTCTGCCTGTGGTTATTCATAGACAGTTGCTGGAGTCAGAATTCACACGGTTGCTCTTTGGATGGAACATTCTTTTTCAAGTGGAACCTGAAGTGTGTGTTATAATGGAAAGATGGCAAATGGATTTCCTTAAGAGTTAGGAGGAAGGGTAATGAGAATACGTTGTGTAAATACATTTGTATCTTGTGGGAATTTGATCAGAGCCAAGAAAATATGGGCCTCCACAGTATTTCCTTGCATATATTTTCTGCATCTTGTTTGCATATGCATTTTCCTCTTCTGGTTATTTATCTGTACATCCAGATCTACTATATGAAATTTTATGGAGTATAGAGCCGTCTGACAGCAGAGTTTTTTTTTGTTTCACTGAATGTTTTGTTGGTGCATATGGTCTGACATGGATGAGCAACCACGGTGAGATTTTGGAGTCTATTAAACTGGCTCATTAAAAAGATCAATCTGTTTCTGTAATAACACTGGGAACCATCAGTCACTAAAAGAGGGAAAAACTGACACCTGAGGAGAAAACACATTTTGGTAATTTGTTCATGACATGTCATGAACAAAAGAGCGCTCTATATTTTGTTTACAACTTGGAGGGCTTAAATTCCGTGACAATTGCTGATTTAATCTACTAAACACCCATCATGTGTTTCAGGGATGGGTTTTGGCAAATTTAACTTTCTTCTCATCCTTAAATACAATTGTCACTGGTTGTCTTTTTTTTCCTTTTTTTTTTTAAACGTTATTGTTATTTACAGAGAAATGAATATTCTGGGGAATTCTATGAAATGTTTTTTTTTGTGTGTGTGTGTTGGGAACAGTGAAATTTATTCTGCTTCTTTTTGAAAATAGCTCTGGGGTGAGTCCCTGAAGAACTGTACTGGATTTGTAGGTCTTTGTAGAATATCCTAGAACCCAAGTTAGAAAAAGGCAATTTTCACTTAAAAATCATTCTATTTTTTTTCTAAAATATTAGGGAAAGTTAATAAAAAGTTCTGATTACTACTCTTTGTTACTATGTAAAAGTTTATTCTTTGTGGGAGACCTTTGTTTTGCCATGCTGTGATGGGAGAAGCTCAAGAAGGGGCTACGAACCCCTGCTGTGGAGCTGGTTCCGTGAAGTGACCACTTTCAAAGATAGAGGCAAGAAGTTAAGAGAATTCTTTAGAACTGCTCACCACGATGGCTCATGAGGATGGCCAAAGGAATGGGAGGGAAAAGAGCAGTTGGGCAAAACTGCATTTTTTTGAGACTGCAGAATGGATAAAAATTATTATCCAAAAAAATACTTGTGTTAATTATCATTGCTGTCTGTCTTTGTTCACAACTTTGATATTCCAGCTTTTTGTTATAATTTGTCTTTAATATTGTCTTCTCACTTGTTATGCTAATTTTCTGACTCAGAGAATCTTGCTTAACAAATCAAACCAAATGATCAGTGGTTTTGTGTGGGTAACAGTCTCCTCCCCTTTCAAATGATTAACATTGTGTTAATCCCCTTCATATGTATATATGTATCTCATCATTTTAATGTAGTTATGCTTTAAATTACTCTCAGTTTAACACATCTCAACTTTTATTACGAAGGCCAGGTAGTTGCATTAATAGGTATTTCCTCCTCCCCTATTATTAAACATTATTTTCTAAAAAGACTTGCTTGGACTTTAGAAGTATATAATTTGTCAAGGATCTTGTGGATTCAGCAGGCCAACCCTTTCTCTTTATGCTTGAGCACACTAAGGCCCGAAGAACTTGCTTCAAGTCGCAAAGCTTCTTAGTGGAGAAACCAGCATATTTACATACCTGAAATCTTTCAGCTGCACAAAATGTTTTAATGTATAGAGTTTAAATAAGGAAAGCTCAACTAAGAATTTTTTTTCCTTACTTTTTCCTCATTTATTTCTTCTCTATAATTGCTCAAGTGGGTAAATGCAATATAGTATAATATTCTGGGGTTTTATAAATCTTTATAACGATAGAGGATCCACAGCCAGCCAGGTTTCCTGGATTAATGAGTAAGTTAGAAAACACTGAAGGTTGGAGGGTCAGAAGGCAGTCATTTTGAAACCATGTTGGTTGATTATATAAGATTTGTCAACACAGTACACAGCAGCTGAACCTACTAGGTCCGTTTTTCCTTTTCTGCAAAATGAATGAAGTTTCAATATTTTTGTCTTTCTCAAGAGAAAAGGTAGGTATACTTTACAAGGAACTATACAGTTAATTGACTATGCAAATAAGAATTAAATTTGTATTATCTACTGCATTTAGATTTCTATGAAAAAATGTAGGGAATTTATATTGTATTCATACATTCTTGTTTTGTCTTACGTTTTTTATGTGTGCTTCAGTTTCGAGAAGTGAGTAATCATCCCTGTAGAAGTGATTTTTTTTATATTAGTCACATCAATTGTGAAGGCTTCTAGTGAAATAGCACGAAGTTGTATTTACATGATGAGAAAGATAGCATGGTTGTAGAGGACATCTTGATCTCTCTACACTCCAGCCTCTACGTTGAAATTGTTAGCCTTATTTCTTGCTCCTCTCCTAGGGTCCAGCCCTGCCTTAGTCTGTATTCTGATGGGTGGTTTCTGCTCTGTCCTCTGGTTCTCTTTTTTCACCCCCACCCCTTTTTTTGAAATTGAGGTAACATTGGTTTATCACATTGTATAAACTTCAGTGTACGTCATTATATTTCATCTTCTGTATAGACTGCATTGTGTTCACCATCAAAAGTTTGGTTTCCATCCGTCACCTTACAAATGTACCCCTTTACCCCTTTTGCCCTCCTCTCACCCACTTCCACTCTGGTAATCACAAATCTGCTCTGTATGTATGTGTTTGTTTGTTGTTGTTTTGTTTTGTATTTTTTGTCTTCAACATGAGTGAAATACAATATTGGTCTTTCTTCATCTGACTTATTTCACTTAGCATAATACCCTCAAAGTCCATCCATGTTGTCGCAAATGGCAAGATTTCATCTTTTTTTATGGCTGAGTAGTAGTCCATTGTATGTATGTGTGTATGTGTGTAAAGGGACATATATATCGCATCTTCTTTATCCATTCATCTGTTGATGGGCACTTAGGTTGTTTCCAAGTCTT